CATCTTCCTTCTGAGGAGTGGCTGGTGGGTTTGAACCACCCGCCTTCTGGTTAGCAGTCAAGTGCCTTAGGCACTACGCTACCAGAGCTCCCTCACCTACCTTATATACATGCAAAATCTGGACAATTAATAAGGATGACTGAAGAAGAAGTGACGCCTTTTAATTATGGTGTTGGCAAAGAATAGTAAATATACCATGGAATGCTGGAAGAATAAACAAATCTATCTGGGAAAAAGTAAGCCAGAACGTTCTTTAGAAGTGAGAATGGTTGAGACTTCGTGTCAAGTACTTTGGTCATGTTATCAAGAGAGACTGACCATTCCTGGAGGAGGGTATCATGCCTGGTTAAATAGAGCATCAGCAAAAAGAGGAATCTCCTTAACAAGACAGATTGACACTGTGGCTGCAACAATGGGCTCTAACCTAGCTGTGATTTTGAGGATGGTGTAAGACCATGCAGTGTGTTTTTATTCTGTTGACACAGGGTTGCTGTGAATCAGAATTGACTTGGTGGCATCTAATAAAAACAGCATGTTTTGGTATTTCCAAATAAAAAAGGAATGCAAAGAATAAAGTTAAATTTCTTTTAACACCTTTCTGCTCCTCTGAAAGCATTTTTGATGATTTCAAGAGGAATCACAATTATTTTCAAGGAAATTGAAACAATTTTGAAAAGTCTCTATTTGGTACAGAGTCATCAGGCATTATTAGCCATAATAATTGAATAACAAAACAAAAAACAAACTCACTACCATTGAGACAATTCAACTCATAGCCACTCCTCCTTGGGTTTCCCTCATAAATGTTTGGAAGTAGAATTTCTAATTTATAAGTTTAATCACTATCACTATGGAAGTAGATCGCCCGACCTTTCCAAGGAGTGGCTGATGAGTTTGAACTTCCAGGCTTCTGGTTAGCAGTCAAGTGTCTTAGGCACTATGCCACCAGAGCTTCCAATAATTGACTATAATCTAAATATACAAAATTTATCTCTAGATTATAGAAATTTATATACTTGTATAGGGAAAGTATGGTAGAGTTATGACTCAGT